ACCTATATGCCAGAAAATTTGAAATGACAAAGGATAGAGGTGGTGTGGCCTGGGCAATGGGGTCTCTCCTAAGCAGAAGCTGGAGGGGTAGAAGCTAAGCTGGGAGAAGGTGGGAGCGGGGAGAAAGGCTCACTTTCCATGAGTGGACTTTGAGAGGGCTGGTTTCCAGCCACATGTGAGTTTGGGGGTCTGGGATCTGAGCCCCAAGCAGAGGTCCTGGAATCCAGTGCTGGCTGCTCCAGGTCAAGGGGTGGGGTAGTTGCCTGTCTGGGGCTCTCCAAGGGGCTGCTGGGTAATGCCTGGGTGGCCAGCCAGGCACTGCCCTGCTCTCGGTGTTCAGGAGGTCTTGGGGTTTGGCTACAGCTCAGAGAATTGAGTTTAAAGCCCCTCTGCTGCCTTCTGATCAGTTTAGCAGAGACATCAACATCCTGCGTCCCGGAGGGCAGAGAAACGGGTGGGGCTCGGAGAGCTGTGTTTTCCTCCAATCTTAGAAGGAAAGCAGCCTCTGAATGCCAGGCAACTTGTCACTGACCCCGAGCTCTGTGACAGAGGACCTAGGAAAGAAGTGAGTGTGGCCTTTTACTTCACATTCCTTTAAAGCCAGAGGGCTGAGTTCAGGCCCGGCACAGGCCCTCCAGTTGTGAACTGTCTGCTGATGCCTGTTAGGTGAGCTTTGACAGTGGTGCGCAGTCAGAGCTTGTGGGCTGGCGTGGGCTGCCCCTCACCAAGCCCAGGAAGGGAGGGGTGGAGACAAGAGAGGGATTTGGAGTAAATCAAATGCTGCGTCCCCCTAACCAGCTGAGTGAGCTTGGGCTCCCTTTCCCTCTCTGATCCTGCCTCTTCTTCTATATCATGGAATAGTTTAACATTCTCAAGGTTATCTTAAACATTTAGTATGATCAATATAAATGAATTCACTTTTAAATAGCCAAATATTTTAGTGTTTCTTAGAATGGTGACTCTGGCCTTTCCAGGGTTTCTGCAGAGGTACCATGCTTATTTCCAAGGCATTCATTTGTTTCTCCAGCCAGCACTTGAGCACGAGGCTCTGGAACTTTCTCCATGCAGTAGTGAGCTGGCGCTGTCTCACGCTGTTTCATAAAAGCTGATTGTTAAATGATTAAATTATATGTAATCACTCACTAAACTATTAAATTTTTAATGTAACTAAATTATGAACAATTATCTGAGCTTACTGTGAAATGATATTAAGTACAAAGTGAATAAATAATCAAAACTCACTGCTTCCTAATTATTTTACTGTACATTACTATATCTATGCCCTTGGGGCTATTTACACCGATTGTATCTGTGTGATGGCAATGCCACGTGATGGTGCACTTACTGTGCGTCTCTTTCCAACTCCACATTCAGTGATGTCATTTTGATACCTTGAAACTGACTATGGTAAGACAATTCACATCACAGACATCAGCAAACACTACAGTCAGAGCTCCCCCGCCACTCAGAGAGCTGCTAAACATTTGCCAGCACAATCCTGACTATAGATATCAGCAAAATGAAGTGTGCAGAGCTCCTGGTGACTTTCTCAGAATCACTTGGCCATGTTAAATGTCCTTTTCAATCCAGTGCTTTCTTCATCAGACTTAGCTGTTCCAGCCTTCCCAGGAACTGGTGGCCAGGTCTTACGGCATGCATCTCTTTATCCAAAACACTCCGGCCTTATCAGCATGCTTCTCTACCATTCATCTGGTGGGGTCACTTCTCTGCTTCTGCTTTTCCCTGAGCTGAGCCAAAACATTCACTCTGGTTTGTAAAGCAAGCTGAGAATCTCAAGCGGCAGTATTTTCCCTTTCTTTGTGGAGCAAAACCCACAGCTCACAATTATTATGTGGTTTTTTTCCTTTTTTTTTTTTTCTTTTAGAGATTGAGTCTCGCTCTGTCACCAGCCTGGAGTGCAGTGGCGCTATCTCAGCTCACTGTAACCTCTGCCTCCCGGGTTCAAGTGGTTCTCCTGCCTCAGCCTCCTGAGTAGCTGGGAAAACAGGCATGTGCCACCACACCCAGCTACGTTTTTGTGTTTTTAGTAGAAGACAGGGTTTCACCATGTTGGCCAGGAGGGTCTTAATCTCTTGACCTCTCATGAGGTCATCCATCCACCTTGGCCTCCCAAAGTGCTGTGATTACAGGCATGAGTCACCATGCTCAGCCCATCATGTGGTTTTCTAACCTGGGGTGTTTGATAGAGCCCAGAGGCAGGGGTGTGTGTGTGTCTGCGTGTGTGTGTGTGTGTGTGTGTGTGTGTGTGTGTGTGTTGGGAAATAGGGAGGGGAAGAAGAAGTCAGATCACATGAGGCTTTCTGATGTTTCAACTTGAAGTCTGCACAGCAACCACAGACCCTGCAGGCCCAGGGGAAGAGGAACGTAAAACTGAAAGACAGAGACCCCCGAGGATTAGCTTCCCGCCTTGGCCTCCAAGAGTGTCCACAGGAGACGACCATGTGTTCCTCAGTAATGAGGCCCAGCGCTGGATCTGGAAGCCTCCAACATCAAGCTTCCAGCCTGCCTGCTTCTAATACTCCCGGGGCAGCTCTCCAAGTCTGGGAGCTCTGGACCTCGTGCGTGTGTTTCTGAGTGGCGAAGGGCTGGGTGGTCGTGTCGCACCGAGGAGATGAGGCCCATTTGGAAACAGGAAACCCTGTTGGCGGGTAGCTGAGGAACGGGGTGTGGGGCCCTGCTGGAATTTACCATGGGCTTCCGGGCTCAGGGTCCCCTGGATGCTGCGGTTCCATTCACTGAGCAAGATCATTGACTATTCTTTTCTCACTCAGAGCACTTATTTATTTAAAGTGCATTTTCTCCTTTTTGTCACCAGCTGTACTGCAGTTTGCCTGAGGTTCCTCTCAGAGCTTTGCTCCCTAGGGGTCTGCTTTCATCCCACCCAAATTCTTCCTCTCAACTCTCTGTGTCCTGCCCAGAGGTCCCTGACTGAGGACCTACTGTGTGTAGGTGGCTGCTCGTCTACAGATGTGTCCAAGACGGTTTCTGCCGCAGGCTGGTCTCTGCCAGTGGGAGGTTCCAGCCAGCTGGCATGTGAAATGGGCCCGACCCTGCATCTGGCACACTTATGTTGTGTTTTTCATCTTCACTGAGGCGAGGGAGGTACTAATAGTATTCTCATCATATAGGTGAGGAAGAAGTGGCTTGGGAGAGGAAGGAAGTTTCCAGAGTCTGTAAGTGGAAGGCAGCAGAGATTTGGGCCTGTTGGCTTCCCGAGGACAGGTGTCTCTGCCCTGCCCCCTGCCTATCTTGGCGGCTGGTGTTCAAAGCAGGGCATCTGCTGAGGGGTGTGTGGGTCCAGCCAGGCTGTGCCTGGCTCTTCTCTCTGCTTCACTGTGTGGTACATGCCCTTCTCCCTCCCTCCTTACAGATGCTGAAGGCCACATAGGTTGGGGTGACAGTGATGGCAAGGATCTGTGTTTGCCCCTCAAGGGTTCCTGTATGGTAGAGTCCTCTGCAGTGTGACCTCCCTTCCCTCCTCTCCCTACTTGGTGGCCGCCCCAGGGCCCCAGGCGAGGCGAGGGGCACTGACATGGCATGCCCCCTGTGCTGGCCATGTGGCTGTTTGTCCTCGGCTCCATGCTCTCTCTTTCATCCTCTGCTCTGTACAGTGGGGAAGTCGATCCCTGCAGCCTGCATTCTCAGGCTTGCTGGTCAGCTTGCCTCTGGCTGGGTTCAGCCGATGGGGTTTGTGGGGCCAGAGAAAGAGAGAAGCCAGGGTATTCTTCCTCTGTCAGCCTCTCAGGTGGAGTCACCTCATCAGCTGCTGGCGGCAGCTGCCTCTGCTCTGTGTCTCCCCTCCCTCTAGGTACCAGCTTCCGTAGGGACCTCCATGGCATTCTAGCCCTGGGCTGGACATTCCCCGCTGTGACTCCAGCCTGGAGTCCGCAGCGGGAGCAATTCTGTTAATCTCTGAACTGCATCCCTTATTTGGCTTCTCAGTGATTCCATACCCAATTCCCTGAATTACATTGCTTGCATACTTAGACTGGTTTTTGTGTTTCTGACTGGATCCTGAATGATGGGCCTCCCTCTAAACAAGGTGACTTAATAGGGTCCATGTTCCCAGCCCATCTGTAGCAAGCTCTCTGAGCGAATGACATCATGACAGCCCTGGAGCCCTCAGAGAAGCAATTATGGAAGCCTAGCGTCTGGCTGCCTGGCTGAGCTCTTGCTCCAAAGGCCCTTGCCTCTGCCTTATTCTGAAGACTCTCATCTCTATGCCCTGCCTCCACATCCATAAAGGAAAGCGAGGCAGACATCGCAGCCCCGCCTCCTTGCAGCAGTTAGAGTGCTTGGCTCGGAGCCTGAGCCCTCCTGCTGGCCTTGCTCAGGACCTGCTGCATGTGAGCTATGTTGTCATGTAACACACAGGAAAGGTCGGAGAGGCAGCAGAGGCGGAAAGGGAGCCTAGAGCCTCCTCCACAGCTCCAGTCTCCGCAGGTTTTCTCCTCGTTCCTGGACTGATTTGCTTTGGATTCAAATCTGCTTGTTCTCAGACTCCTTCCTGGCCAAATGCCTGGAGCTGGACCCTTTGCTGCAAGTACCCCTTAAAGATGTGGGCACGGTTGGGGAATGGAGGGCATTTCCTCTGGAAAGAAAAGGCAGAGGATCTTGTAATGGCCCAGGAGTGGTGATATCCTTGCTGGGGTACACATTTTGGTGAAATGAGCCCCCTTGCCAAATGGACTCTAATACTCCTTCAATTCACATGCCTAGAGAAGAAAATAATCAAACTTTTCCGTCAGGGATCACCTGGCTCCCCATATCCCCTCACTTAGGATGTTTCGTTCCCACTGGAGCGTGTGATTGGAAAACAAAGGTAAATGGGAGCAACTGATTCCCGGATCTTTTTCCCTCAGCAGGATTAAACCTGCGTCAGCCATAACGCGTTTACGAACTCTAAAGAAAGATAATAACTTCCCTTCTCACGGCCCGGTCATCGGGGGGTAATGCATGTTTCCAATCAGCTGAGAATGTACCTGAAATGGTAGGTTTTATTTCACTTTAATCCGCCTGCGAGTTCACGTGAAAGGTAAGAGGAATCACAGCCCTGCAATTCAAATAGAGTTCATTAAACTCAGCATCTCCTCTGAACTGGGCTGTGTTGTTTACTCCTCCCCCATAGTCTTGGACGGGCTTTGAGGGTCTGGGGCGGTGTCCGGCGAATGGCAGGAATGCAGGTGAGGCTGCCACTGTGAGGGCAGCTGGAGGGAGGACCTGTTAACCTCATGGTACTGTGGCAACATCAGCCACCACTGCATGGCATGGGGTGCCATGGGGCGGATGCTGAGGAAGAGAAAACAAAGCAGGGCTGGAGAAGCTCAAACAGTAGATACAGTGGAAGGCAGGTGGCCCAGCTGGCAGCCTGTTGCAGGGGGCGGTGGAGTGGCCATGCGCTGTCCACACCACATGGGGCTTACTGGCTTCCGCACACCTCTTTGCTGGCTGCAGCGTTGCTGCTCAGTGGGCGGTTGGGGGAAGAATCGGTTCTCGGTTCCCATTCCAGTTCTGTTATTTAGACACTGGGAGACCTGGGAACACCCCCTTGACAAAGTCTTGCTCTACACATTTCTGTAGTGACCGTCCATTTGAAGAGGCAGGAACATATTTCCTCAATGGCCTGCTGTGAAACTGTTAATGCCACTCCTTCTATAAAACTCACTCCTTGGGGTTAAGCATTGCCTTCTCAGTCCTTTCTTGTTAGATGGAGTGTTGGCACAGGGAGGTGGGTGTTGCTAGTGGACGCATGGGGTGTGATCTGCGTCAGCTGGCCTGCATAGCCCAGGGGTGGAGAGAGGGGTCAGACTACAGCCTACAGAGACTTGGTGGGCAGCGGGCCTGGGCTCCGTCCAGCCAGCCCGACCTCTGATTACTATCCTCAAAGCGCCTCCGGGGTCTCCTGTGCTGGGGCTGCCCGCTGTGAGCCTCTGCTGGGGACAGGAAGTGCTGAGTGAGAACTGCCTCCCCGTGGCATGCACCCTGTCAAATCCATAAACCTTCCTCAGCAATCGCCACACAGAATCCCAAAATTCTGCTTGGGTTTGAGCTATAGAGGCTCAAGGACTGGAAGGAAGCACCAGCCTTGTTCTGCCCCAGCTAGAGGGTCTGCACCGCCCCTGCTACAGGAGGCCCACAGGAGGCAGAGACGTTCACCTCTACTTCCTGTCTGCCCATGGCTTCGTCGCCTTCTCAACCCAGCTGGCCGACTGACCTCCCACCACCATGGGCCTTGTCTTGTCCATGCTGGGCTGAGGGGCTTGGCTCAGGCTTTAGCATCCAAGGCGACTGCTGCCTTGACCAACCAAGCCCTACCTGTCTGTGTGTCAGTCCCTTGCTCAGCTCGGTGAAGGCCACCAGGCACACAACAGCCAACAACCCATGGCCCTTGTCTGCGAGGAGCCTGAAGTCTCACCGGGCAGACAGACACGGAGCGAGTGCCCCGCCATGGGTCTTTCTTCCTCCCGGCTGCAGCCAGGACCGTGCTGTCTAGCGTGTCTGCTGTTTCTTCCTCATGGCAGAGCCCCACATTATGGCTGTTTGTGGAGCATTTGCATGTCTCCCTTGAGGGAAGGCCGTGTCTCTCACGCACAGCTTGAGAAGATTGACATTCTTGCAAAAGCAGAGGAATGTGAGGGTTAAAATGCCTTAAAGGGCAAGGAGATGATTTCCAGATTTCCAGACAATGTCTCAGAGAATTGTAGTGCTCTGGTATATGCCTGAATGTAACCAACGTAGCTCCTTTTGTGCCTGCGAGTAGACTGAATCCACGTGTCCACATGCCTTCAGCTCATCCGCCAAACTGGACAGTGATAGCTAACGCTGTTGGCCCTTATGTCTGGGCGCCTTACATGTGGTACCTCACATTGACCTTCACAATGGCTCTAAGGAGGTAGGTACTGCCATCTTTCCCAGTTTCTACAGGAAGAAACTGTGGCACAGGGAGATTCAGTCACTTGTTCAAGAGCACAGAACTAGGAAGTGGTTGGGGGGCGGGGGTGAAGAATTCTAACCCAGGCAGCAGTCTGACCAGAGGGTCCTAGCTTGGAGCAGTGTTCATGGGCACTGTATGTTCGTGTTTGGTGTATGTCTGTGCATACCTGTGTGTGTGCATGTGTGTGTGTGTGCGCACATGCATGCATGTTCACTCAGGCATATGAGCTGCCCTGCAGTGGGAGCTGAGAGAAGGCAGTGGAGATTGTTGGGAGGAACTCACCGCCTGCTCTGGCTGTCTGAGCAAGTGGAGGAGAGTGATATTAAGTGTGAAGACCAGGACCTGAAGCCAGCCTGACAGTTCCAGCTGTTTGGAGAGAGTGAGGGTGGGTGCCATGGATCTGATGATTTCAGTGATTTTCTACTCAAGAGAAGTGGAGTCTCAGATGGACAGAGCTTAACTGTCTTAAAAACTTGGTACAGGGCAAGGTGTGAGTTTCCCGGGGAGCTTGTGTGAACTGTGAACTGGTGGAGTCTAAAACAGCAAGCCAGATGTTTCCTGGCTCCCTCCCACCCTGGTCTGGCTGTCTTCCTTCAGCTGCTGTGCAGTTCATCCTGGGTACCTGAGGGACTCACAGAGGCTTCGCCCCAAAGGTCTGAGTTGCAAAGTCCCCTGTGGAAGAAACGAACTGCTCCCTCTCGCAGGACCCTAGCTGGGAAGGGTTTACTCCTCACTGGAGGGAAGAGTTGCTCACTGAGGCCCTGGAGCGGGGTGCTCAGGGGCAGCAGCTGGTTCCCAAGTTTCTGTGGTGGAGCCGGGTAACAGCTGGAGACTCTGGTGTTTCTCCACCAGCTCCTCTCTCCAGCCTTTGGTGTTCAGGTGCAGTCTCCAGGCCGTGGCTTCTCAGGTTCTCTATGTGGGCGGCTGCTCTGTAATGCATAGCTGGCGAGGGGACCATTTTGGTCTGTGACAGATCACTGCTGCTTTTTAAATCTGTATGTGAAATATAAAGACTCTTCCAAGATAGTGAACTATATCACACCAAAGTATACTGGCTTCTCCTTGCCAGCCCTACCAGGGCATCTCCCATTACACTAACCCTGCCTATTGGACCTTCTGATGCAAGAAACAGGTTAAAATCCCCTCCCGGTTGCCCACCACATCCATGGCTACAACTAAATCCCTAGTTGAGGAATCATGGAGCCTAGGTAAGCCCTTGGGTTCTGAAGCCAGCTTACTGGGGCGTGAGTCTTCTTTAGCTCCACGTGGATGGTGAGCCCTCCTCTCTCAGGTCTCATGATAGTAGTTAACCTTTATTAAGCGTGTGCCGGGCACCGACTGAGTGCTTTACAGGTACCACATCCTAAGACCCTCATAACTCTAGCAGGTAGTACTATTATCTTACCCATTTTCCAGAGGGAGAAATAGAGGCAAGAGCGGGCTAAATTACTTGCCCAAAGCACACATCTACTGATGGTATGATGTTGGGCAAGATATGAAACCTTTCCAAGTTTCAGTTTCCTAATCTGTAAAGTGTGGTTAATACCATTGTCTATCTGGGATGTTATGAGCCTTAAATGGGGCAATACACATAGCACCTAGCAGAGTGCCAAGCACATGGTAGGCACTCAACAGGCAAGGCCACTTAAGGGAATGTGAACCCAGCTGGAGGGGAGAGAAAAATACAATGACTACAGCACTAATCACAGTGGCGATCGAATAAGTAAGTCACTCCTGAATGCTGACTTTCCTGAGCACAATGTAAACTCCCTGAGGAAGTTTGCCTTATTCACTTCTGTTTCTGTTCCGTGGCTTTGCACACATCTGGCACAAGGTGGGTGCTTGGTGAAGGTTTGCTGAACACATGAGGAACTGCTTGGGGTCATTCACAGCATCGGACAGCCCCTTCCTGGCAGCCCGCTCTCCCTGCCTTGTGGCTGTGGTCTGAGTGTTTTTGCTTCATCCCTGTAAGGGAGGAAGCTTCCCAAGCCAGGGCAAGCCTGGGTCTTGCCCACTGCTGTTTCCTTCGTGGAGAAGATGCTCAGGGCCTGTGAGTGAAGTTGGACCTCCTTGTAGCTTGTGCTGGGTGCAAAACGATCTGCCTTTTGGGCAGAAAATAAATTGTTGGCAGCTGCAGACCCGGGGATTTCAGTCAGCCAGGGGAAAAGGGCCATGCCTTTGGCGCCTCGGACTCCCTGGATAGTGGGGTCTGGGATCATGGTGACCACACAGATCTCTCCCTGCATCACACTGGTAAATGTTGTTTCTAAACCATGCTCTCCCCTTCTCAGCATGGTGTGGCAAGTGGCTGCTCCCCTTGTTCACTGAGAAAATCCTCCCACCCTTGGCACACCTGGCTCTTAACAAGCCTCTTATTTGGAAGGACCACCCCATACCTGTTTGTGTGTGACCCACCCTGAGCGAAATAACTGCTGGACTGAAGTCTCACACAAACCCCCACCCCATCCACTCATTCCCTGAAGATCTTTGTCCTTAGGTCAGCCAAGGCTTTGATGCAGGAGTAACAGAGAATAGGGAGTGTGAGGATGAGGATGATGATGGGGACAATGAATTTCCAGGCAGGCCCAGCTCCCAGCTCCCATCCTCAGGAAACCCTGAGCCCTGCCTCCATCCTTTCCAGAAACGTGAGTCCCACCTTTCCAATTTCCTCTTACACCTCGTCTATTTCCCACTCCCACCTCTGCATGACAACGTGGCGTGCATTTGGCCCATCTGGGGATCAGGGAATCATATTGGGTGTGCCAGCTTAATGAAATACTTGCAGTTTATTAAACTCAGGCTTTCCTAAGCCCCGAGTGCCTGTGGGTATTTGAAAGCTGAAGGTAACCCCAAGCTACCACAAATATAATTGTTACATGTGTCCACGCATTCCTGGTGCAACCTCAAACTCCCGCTCTTAAGCAGCATGCAAAATGAACAACATAAAGTAACTCCTAGTAAGACAAGAGGGGGAAACGTGTGGAAATGCTGAGAGAGCCTCCCCAGAACCCCTCAGGGCCTCTAAAAATATATGAAGTTCCCATTACCTTGCATAGCTCTGGCCACAGAGGGTGCTCCTCCACCCCAGGCTATTTGTTCCGTGTTTGCAGAATTGGTTCATTATGAGCAAGGCAGCCAGCGGGTTTTGCATGTCAACCTTGCATGATGCAGCTCAAATATTTCAAGCCCTGTTTCATCTAGCAGAGGTTTGCTCTAGTGGCGGGGCTAGTAGAGTGCACCGTCTGGGGGTTCCCTCTGGAGCTGTATTTCTGTTCCTCCTCCAGGGCTTGGCTGGAGAGGGCTGTCCCAAGTCTGGGAAGGGACGTGGAGAAACCCCAGGCAACCTGGAGTCTGCTGCCCTGAACCCGGGGGAGGCTGCTCCTGGGAGACGTCTTCCCATTCGTCAGTTTCCTCAGCCTCAGATCTGTAAATCAGCGGTGAAGGGCTGACATGGAAATAGCAGACAAAGGCCTCCAGGGATGTGCCTTCTTCTACGCAAAGTAGCATCTGGATGCCTGAGAAGGAGACTCTGTTGACGGTGCTGAGGGGGACCTGCTCCAGGTACCTCAGTGTCAGACCGTTTACCCACACACAGCCCTTGTGGCTCAGGGTCTTGAGGCAGAAGGCCAGAAGAGCACTGCCTTTCTCCAGGTAGGGCTCCAGGGACAGATGACGCCGGGAGAGGTGGGGGAGCTGCAGCTGGAGGTGGGTGTCCCGCCCCCGTCCGAGCAGCAGGGGACTGGTGTCATGCTGCAGCCGTGGTGGGACATTGGCAAAGGCAGATGGGCCCAGCGTGGGGTGGTACAGGCTCACTCGCAGGACCGTGAGGGGCTTCTCCATGGAAGAAGGACTGGGAAGATGGAACATAGACACATAGGCTCAGCTTGAGCCAGAGACCTCTGTGGCTCCCTCAGCCCAGACACACTGGCCCACCTCAGGGACCCTGCACCTATTCGTACAATCATTCTGCTCAAACCAGAATGGAGCCAAGACTGGAATTGGTGTGGAAGGTCATAAGCTTAGTCTCTCCCATACTCCGAATAGAACATTCCACCTACTCTCTGTGATGTTTGGATTTCTGTAGCATAGGTATGGCTGTCCTTGCCTATGAAAGGGATAAGGCTTGTTGGCTTGCAGGGTGGGGTTTTGGTGATTTTTTGGTTATCTGGAGGCAATTTGGCTTTGCTTCTTGGAAAGGAAAGGGCAGACAGACCGGCTATACCTTCCTTATATCTGACAGTCACACAACAAACCCTTGCTGAGTCCTCCTTTGAGCCAAGCAGGGAGCCAGCTGCTGGGGAGAAGTAGATTCAACAATGAACTGAGCCCTGACACTTGGGAGCATCCACTGGTGGAGGAGAGAGGTGCTTCTAGCTCCAGGGTGTCTGGAGGGACACGGAAGCAGGATGCTTAGCCTGGCCACCAGAAAGGCTGCCTGGAAACCCCAGTGAAGAGTAAACACAGCTAGCACGCTCCAAGTGGTTACTATTGGCACTTGCTGGAAGGCCATTTACAATGGCCAGCTTTGTTCCCGCATGGGTTTGAGGAACACAATCTCTGCCATATCCACCAACACTATGTGGCCCAGGACCTGCCATCACCTTCAACAGAACCAAGGGCTGAGCAGACTTGAATAACTAATTACACCCCCAGGCCTTTGCTCACATTATTTCTCTCCTAAGAATGCTTCTTCCATCCCAAACTCTGTGTCCAAATACTGCCCATGGTTCAAGACCCTGTTCAAATGTTACCTCTCCTAGGAAGCTCCCTTCCCCGGGAAAGGTGACCTTTCATTGCCTTCTGACTCCCACAGCAGGGAGGATCTCCCAGGACACCTGACCATCCTTACTCCCCATTCACTCCATCTTTGCATTTCATGCTCAAGTTCTGTGGGCCCTTCTCCTGTCTTCCCCCAGCTCCTCTCCCTGTCCCTGAGGCCTCCTGATGGCTGGGTGTGGTTGGGGCTGCAGTTCTTGCTGCCCTGTGTCCCACTGCCCAGTACAGATAGAGCCTGGCCACCATAAATGTCCAGGGCACATTTGCCAAGTGGCTAAATGAGAAGCCCCCCCCCCCCCCCCACCACACGGTGAAATCACTCAGAGAGACCACAAATGGGATGGGGTCTCAAAGGCCATGAGACAGGGAGCCTGTTGCAGGTGGCTGGAGCCCAATGTCCCTCCAGGTCTTGAACCTGCTGCCCCTCCTGCCTTTTAGATGCAGTAGGTTAATGGCTGGGACCTTTTCGTCTTTTAGTGAGGGAGCCCCTCAGTGCACTCCCTTTTCCATAAGGCACAGACACACATACGCCTCTGCCCACACCCCATCTGGCTGTAGTCCTCCTTTAAGCCAAGCAGGGAACCAGCTACTGGGGAGAAGCAGATGCAAAAAAAAAAAAAAAAAAACCTTTTTTTTTTTTTTTTTTTGAGATGGAGGCTTACTTTGTCACCCAGGCTGGAGTGCAGTGGCCTAATCTTGGCTCATGGTAACCTTCGCCTCCCAGGTTCAAGTGATTCTTCTGTGTCAGCCACCCGCGTAGCTGGGATTACAGGCTCCTGCCACCACAGCCGGCTAATTTTTCTTTTTATTTTTTTGGATGCAGGTTTTCGCTCCTGTTACCCAGGCTGGAGTGCAATGGCGCCATCTCGGCTCACTGCAACATCCGCCTCCTGGGTTCAGGCAATTCTCCTGCCTCAGCCTCCTGAGTAGCTGGGATTACAGGCACGCACCACCATGCCCAGCTAATTTTTTGTATTTTTTAGTAGAGACGGTGTTTCACCATGTTGACCAGAATGGTCTCGATCTCTCGACCTCGTGATCCACCCGCCTCGGCCTCTCAAAGTGCTGGGATTACAGGCTTGAGCCACCGCGCCCGGCCCTTAATTTTTGTATTTTCAGTAGAGATGGGGTTTCACCACATTGGCCAGCCTGGTCTCAAATTCCTGACCTCAGGTGTTCCTCCCATTTCAGCCTCTCAAAGTGCTGGGATTATAGGCGTAAGTCACCAGGACTGGCCAGAAAGCCTTTTCTTGAGGTGTGGGATATAGACTCAGCCAAGGAAGCTGGGCTGGGCAACCATGCTCTCAGGCCTGGCTGGAAACACAAGAGTTCACTCCCAGAAACTAATCTCACAGCCCAGAGACCCTGAAAGAATCCCTCAGGAAGAAAGATTCCCTGTTGCTGTGTAGCCTTACTCTCTGCTCCACTGAACCCTCCAGAGCTAACAGAAGTCTCCCACCAAAGAGGAGCCCATCCACCAGAGCCTGTCCTGCGTCTTTTGGATCCCAGCTGTTCTGGGCAAACAGAAACCCAAGCCTACAACTCCATCCTGTGGGATGAGGCAGGAGGAAGACACTCCAGAGAGTGTGTAGGGGGAGCCCTCCTCCCAGCCCCACCAGGCTTTCTCCCCTCCCATGGGTTCAAGTCCCTGTGGCTTCTACCTACCTAGACACATCTGGCTCTAGTCCCGCAGCTGTGAGCTCTTGAGAGGGTTCAGTGGGCTGGTCTGGGTCGGGCTGGGGAGGGCTCTTATGGCTGCGGTTCAGGAACATGATATGTCAGAACACACTTCAGTTTTGTCGCATGCTTCCTTTTTCCCTTTAGGAAAGAAAATGGAAGTGTAAGTTTTCATTGCAGAAGTGCAGTTCCACTGCTGGGAGGTTGAGAAACCCCAGTGTGGGGCCCCTTCTGAGATAGATGGCGTGCCTTCCTGGGTTTCAGTTCTACCAGCCTCTCCTACCCCACCCCCAGGGACCTTACAACCTGAACCCAGGGTATCTGCAAAGTTCCTCTCCACCTCCCAGTAGGATGAGACCAAAGCAGCCCAGACATGTTAGAAAAAAGAGCCTTTTGGGACAGAGGGCTACTGGACAGGAAAGCCCCCCGAATGTGGGGGACCGTGGAGAGCATTCTGGCTGGATAGAGGCTGACCGAGGAAACTGTAGGCAACGTGACACTTTCCTGACGGTCTCAGGAGAGGGCAGGGCCTGGGGATGGGGAGGATGGAGGGGGCAGAAAATGGGCACTCATAGAAGATGATCTCTCCTGCAGGACAACGAGAAGGCGGTCTCTCATGCCCACTCCCCACCGCCCGAGCCCTGCTGGTTTGTGTGTAGTTTGGAAGGGGTGAAGATGGTCGCTGGTCCAGCACTGTGGGCTCTGGCTGCCTTGGAAGTGGCTAAATGTGAAGATGCTAACCCTTCACATGGCCCAGCAATTCATAGTCCACCAGTGTGTTCAAATCACCTGCATTATCTCCTAGGAGTTTGATAGTTCTATATGTACTTTTTTTTTTTTTTTTTTTTGAGGTGGAGTCTAGCTCTGTTGTCCAGGCAGGAATACAGTGGTGCAATCTCAGCTCACTGCAACCTCCGCCTCCCAAGTTCAAGTGATTCTCCTGCCTCAGCCTCCCTAGTAGCTGAGATTATAGGCGCCCACGACCACACCCAGCTAATTTTTGTATTTTTAGTAGAGATGGAGTTTCACTGTGTTGGCCAGGCTTGTCTCAAACTCCTGACCTCGTGATCCTTCTACCTCAACCTCCCAAAGTGTTGGGATTACAAGCATAAGCCACTGCACCCGGCCCTACATGTACATTTTAATTTTTGTGACGTGTAAGGTTTGTGTCTAGATTTTTTTTTTTTTTTTTTTTTGCCTATCAATGTTTAGTTGTGTCAGCACCATTTTCTGAAAAGACCATTTTTCTTCAATGCTTTCCCTTTAGCCCTTTTTCAAAGATTGGTTTACTGTATTCATGTGGGTTTATTTCTGGGCTCTGTACTTTGTATCATTGATCTATTTGTCTAGTCTTGATTGCTGCAGCTTTGCAATAAGTCTTGAAGCTAGGTACTGTCAGTCCATCAATTCTGTTCCTCTCTTTCAATTTTGTCTTGGCTCTTTCAAGTTGTCTCTCCATGTTAGAATAAGTTTGTTAATAGCCATAAAATAACTTGCTGGGATTTTGATGAGATTGCATCAAATCTATCAATAAAGGAGGGAAGAACTGACATTCTGATGGATTTGAATCTTCCTATTCATGAACATGGAATATTGCTCCAATTATTCAGTTCTTTGATTTCTTCATCAGAGTTTCATGGTTTTTCTCATACAGATCTTGTACATATTTTGTTAGATTTATACAGAAATATCTCTTTTTTGGATATTAATGGAAATGCCATTGTGTTTTTGATTTCTCCACTTGTTCATTGTTGGCATATAGGGAAGTAATTGATTTTATGTATTAATCTTGTATCCTTCAACCTTCCTTTAATCACTTATTAGTTACAAGAGGTTTTTTTTTTTTTTTTTGTCAATTCCTTTGGATTTTCTACATAGACAGCTTGTCATTTCCAAATAAAGACCATTCTTTTTCTTCCTTCCCAATATGTATACCTTTTTTTATTTCCCTTTTTTATCTTACTTCAGTTGTTAAAACTTCCAGTATGATGTTGTAACAGAATAGTGAGAGGGGACATCCTTGTCTTGTTCCTGATCTTAGCAGGAAATGTTCTGGTTTCTTATCAGTAAGTATGACATTAGCTGTAGGATTTTTGCGAATGTTCTTTTTCAAATTAAGGATGTTTTCCTCTATTCCTAGTTTGTTGAAGACATTTTACTCCAAAGTAACTGCCAACTTAGAATTTCATACCCAGATAAAGAATCCTTCAAAAATGAATATGATGTAAAGGCAATTTCAGAAAAAAACTGAAGAATTTGTCAATAGTACACCTACTCTAAAGTAAATTCTAGTGTTCTTCAGGCAGAAGAAAAGTAATCTCAAATGAAAGCATAGAAATGCAGAAAAAATGAAGAACGATGGAAATGGATTTATTCATATCAATCAAAGTGAATATTACCTATATGAAAAATAATAACAAGACGCTTTGTTTTTTAAACTTTCGTTTAAGTTTCGGGGGTCCATGTGCAGGTTTGTTACATGGTAAGCATGTGTCATGGGGCTTTGCTGTACAGATTATTTCATCACTCAGGTATTAAACCCAGTACCCAATAGTTACCTTTTCTGCTCCTCTCCCTCCTCCCACCCTTCAACCTCAAGAAGACCTCAGTGTCTGTTGTTTTCTTGTGTTCATGAGTTCTCCTCATTTAGCTCCCACTTATAAGTGAGAACATGTAGTGTTTGGTTTTCTGTTCCTGTGTTAGTTTGCTAAGGATAATAGTATGATGACATTTTAAAATGTGTTTAGAATATGTGTATAATTAAAGTACATGACAACAATAACATCAAAGGCAGGAAGAGTAAAAATGTTATTATGGTGTCCCAGGGTTCTTGCATTGTCCAGGATGCAATAAAACGACAAATTTAAGGTAGACACTAATAAGTCAAAGATGTATGATATAATCTCTAGGATAATCAGTAAAAGAATAATAATGCCTTAGTGACAAGCCAATAGATGGGAAGTGGAGTAATAAGTTATCATTGACAATGAAGGCTGAGGGGCCTTGGAAAGGCACCGTGGAATAGGGAGGACATCTAAGTAGGGAGGATGAGGGCAGCCCCAGACCAGGCCTGCATCTGGGTCAACTGAAGGGGAGAAGCAGGGCTCTGGCACTGGCTCTTCTGGACAGATACTGACTCACTCCAGGAGTTCACCTCCTGCCTTCTTCTAGGCTGAGGCATGTGGGACCCTTAAGCATGGTGGCGTTGGAGGCTGTTTCCTCTAAGGATCTCTGAGTCTGCTCCTTTCCTGGGCTACTCCTCTGGGGACATCACTGGTCACTCCTGGGCCTTTTCTGACCACCCTGAGAGTCTCAGGGCCAGGTGCTCAAATAACTGACCTGGAAGCTCCGCGATGGAAAGTGACCAGCTGAGATTACACAGTAAATCTGTAGCACAGCCAGATGAGGACTTAGGTGAGCTGACTCCCAGCCCTCAGGCCTAATTGCATCACACCTCCATGGTCCAGGTAGCTTAACAGCTGTGCCACATACTCCCTCTGGGTCATACTTTGGGGCCAGTGTTACGGGTCTGGAAACAAGCATGGCTCCTGGTTCCTCAATAGCAAGTCAAGCAGAGAGGTGGAGGTCTGGTGAGAGAGGGCAGTGAGGGGCAGGGCTAGCCCCCAGAGCCACAAGATGTTTGCTAGCAGACCAAGCAAGACAGGTGACTGAAGCTCAATGAAGTCTCCATTGCGGTCTTTGTATCTCTCTAATTGCCTTTTCTTGTGTCTTTCCGCCATCCCCTGTAACCTGGCTCTTCCTGCTCTTGGGGAAGGGTGGGGAGCAAAGCTCAGATTACTGAGAAAATCCTCTTCTGACAAATCTTGGAGACTTGCTACGACTCCTCTAGAAATCTAGGGAAGGCAGTAGTAACCTAAAGGAGTGGTTCCAAGAGCATGCCAGACCTGCTGCTTGCCCTGTG